GCAGTAAAATAAAGAAATTCATAAATGTTTAAAACTGTGATGAGAAGAAAAGACTCAGAAGTGATGCAGAGAGAAAGAGAGAGAGGACCCAGCGGAGAAATAAAAGTGAAAACACTCCTCGATGGCCCGCAGCTTTAATCTGGAGGATTCTGCTGTTTGAGAAAAGCACCGTTTTTAACAAACACGCCCTGCAACTCGTCTTTAACAAAGGATCTCTGCTAAATGACTCTCTGAAATGACAACTGCAGGGCTCGTCTTTTGCTGAATGTTTTCTCGAAAGAAACATGAAAATGTATCCTATAACGGCCCTTTTTGATTGTATATAAATCATAATGAAATGGATGATTCCAGATGACATGCTGACAACTCTTAGTGATAAAAGGACAATCTGTGGATTCCAGCATGAAATTACTAAACTATCAAACGTTTATCCTAATTTTTTATAAAACCCCATCCTGGAGAAGTGAACCATGAAGCTCCCGTGCTTTGGGTGTGTACATGGTGGTTCCCCTTGTGGCTACATTTCCACTGCAGAGACGAGGAACCTACAGAGGAACCGGAGCATCCCCTCTTCTGGGACCGGAGGCTGAATGAAGATCTTAGATTCAGGCCTGCTCATCTTGAGTCATCTACAACTTGCTGCAGTGCATCGTTCTTACTGCTAAATATAATGTATATATACCGATGAGTAAGCACGTAGCATTAACGGAGCGGAGCTGATGGGCAATGCATGAGGATCTGTTTGAAGTTCTGGGTTAGACCCTCACACAGGACCCCCGCTGACTGTTGAAGAGACAGAATCCTTAAAAAAAAAAGAAACCAGAAAACATTTACTGTTGTTTTCTATGGCGTCAGTAAAAACGACATTGCTTTCTCAAACATCAGTGGATGACTTGTCTCATGTTGGAAAAGCAGAAGAACACAAACAGAAAGAATCTTTTTGTCAATCTAAAATAGTTCCAAGTCCCGGGTGTTAGACCCACAGACTGTAAATATGAATGTTTGAAGCCTGAGTGACGTCACCCATCTGTTCCTGCAGGGGGCGCTGATCGATGTCCCATGTATGGCGTTCTCCATGCTGGAATTGCTGTCTCAGCCTAACTTTCAGTCAACCTAACGACAGGCTGAGAGCTGGAGCTGAGGCGGGTTTTAAGCCTCCTGACAAACCGTTACACCGCGCCCACCTGGCAATCAGGTCAGCTACACGACTTAATGTGAATAACTCTTATGAGCGTGCAAATTTTCATCATATTCCAAAGAATGAGAGAAATATTCTGACCTGATGGCAGCTTCAGATCAACATTAGAAAAAGAGTTGATACAAAGAGTCCTGAGGAGATAAATCAATATCCTGCCGATACTTTGGTGGTCGTTCTTCAATTTGTTGGTCCGACTTCCCGTCTGGATCAAAGAGAGGATTGTTCTGTTGCTTATTTCAGGATTCATGTGACACAAAAAACCAAGACATTAAAACAACAAATAAAATCCTCACTTCTTTTTTTATCTGCAAGAACAACTGAGATCTTCAGGGAGCGGTTTACCCGCCACATCGCAGCGCAATTCACTTAAACCAAATTTTATGTGGTCACGGCGAGCCGCTCCGAGTAAAAATCAATATAAGTGTTAAATATGGGCACAAACTGGACACACACACACACACACACACACACACACACACACACACACACACACACACACACACACACACACACACACACACACACAGGGGCGATGTGTGCGATGAGGAGTGTTGTTTTCCTCTGAAAGGACAGAAGCCTCCAGAGGATTCAGCGCTGTGATTCCCGCCTCGGGCAGACGCAGCGATTTGTTGTTTTTAGTCTCTGTTTTGTCTTGTCTCGTTGAATCTGTCGACCCACCTGCAGCCCCCCAGAGTCCACTCCTCCTCTCTGATATCAGAGGATGTCAGAAACATGAAGTGACAACCAAACCTGTTAGTCAATTTTTGTGAAGTTACACCGCCTCTAGGGGGTGAAATAAAATCAGTCTTTGAAGCGCCGTGAGCCTCGATAAAAGCAGTTTCATTGCCGAGTCTCAGGTTGAATCCAGAACTAAGCACAGCGGCGGTGCTCCGACTCGCTCCACAGCCTTTTTACATAAATACAAGATGACGTTTCTGCACCGGCGGGCAGGAAGGCGTTTCAGCACCCGGGTAAAAAGTGAAACAGCATAATTTGATATTAAATGTGAGTGGAGCTGGTTCTGCAGCTCGGAGCGGGTAAACAGAGCTGTCAGGAGGTAATTTACAGGAAACAGAAGGGAACACAAAGAGAGGAATAAAAAGAGAGCAAACGAGTTCATCGTGGACTGTAACAGCTGAGGTCAGAGCAGAGAGTGTAGCACTCTGCATGGACACAGTGAGAGGGACGAAGCATGTGTTTACGGACAGACGTATCGACTTTACTTCCTGAATATTTCCACAAAGTTTGACTCTTTAGTCTCAGATATCTCAGCCGAAAACATGATCCTCCTGACTCCCTTTATGTGACGTTTTGCAGGGTCAGAGCTGTGTGGTCAGGTTAGCAATCATAAATAAAGTGACATCAGTCATCTCTACCAGGTGGGAGAGGGATGGAGCTGATCCCATTTGTTATTGGGCAAGAGCTTGTGGGTTACACCCTGGACTGGTCGCCAGTCAATCACAGGACAGACAATCTCTCACATTCTTAATCAACGTAACGCAGCAGATTGTACACTCCACTCATGCATCGGGAAATACAACAACGTTTAGAGATTTTTTAGGGTTCTCCAGATCTCAAACTTTGACTTTTGTGTTGGAGTCAGATTCGACCAGGAGGATCTATACTTTGACTGAAATAAGAAAGCTCTGTTCTTTGTCCAGCACTTACTGTAAAATGATTGGTTCGTGTTTTGGCTCCGCCTGACTCATGAATGGTAAATGTTGATGAGATCGAAAAACAAAGAAGCTTAAAAAAAAGCTTAAAGCTTCTGAAATCACTGAAAGACAAGAGGGCGACCGAGGACAGAGTTCAAGTGTTTGACCGTCTCTGATCATTTCATCGTCTCTCCCTGCAGCCTGTGTGTGTGTGTGTGTGTGTGTGTGTGTGTGTGTGTGTGTGTGTGTGTGTGTGTGTGTGTGTGTGTGTGTGTGTGTGTGTGTGTGTGTGTGTGTGTGTGTGTGTGTGTGTGTGTGTGTGTGGTCGCAGTGACCCAGAGAAGCTGATATATAAACACAGATACTGTTTGAACACTGCTGAGTCTCCTGAAGAAGACTCTTTATCTGCACTCTCATCTTCCCCTCCCGTCCCTCTGAGCTGAGCATGCTGGGAAAGGTTCCTTAGTATCTGTCTTTAGCCTCGAAAACATCTTCTCTCTTTACAAATCAGACAAAAGAGGTGATGAAAAAAAACACTGCAGAAGTAGCTGACGAAGCAGCAGAGTCCTCTACACAACGCTATAATGAGAATATCTGTCTTTATATCAATGCTACGTGTAGTTGAACAGAATCTCAATCTGAACTAAAGAGTGGAGAAGAACATACTGGAGAACAGGAAACATAATGCAGCAGGTTCATTAGAGCACGGAGATCATATAGGTGGCGTGCAGACAGTCTAATAAACAGGGAATAAACGTCACCACCCCCTCCCACTCGCTCCAGGTGAATTCTCCTGATTATATCCTGCTGCGTTCTCACTCTGACTTCCTGCAGAATAAATACGAGGAGGCTGGAGGAGAAACTCCGGATAAAGTCTGATAGAAACATTCGGCTGTTTGTGTTCACACATGCAGCTCATTGTGCAAATATCAGGAGATTTCTGCAAGTGTGAAAGCACTATAAGTCACATCTTTTCTGACAGCTGAAATCACCGTAAATCACAAAGTAAAGTAATTCATTCTGTAAATCACAGACTATGAAGTGACCAAAAGAAGGTGTGTCCAGTTAATCAACTAATTAAACTCTGTTAACTATTATCTGTTAACAAAGACGTTAACTTCCATATCAGTTAGTCTAACTCCTTTAACTGAAGGTCAAATGAACAGTATTATAAAATCATGTTCCTGAGGAGTTTCTCTGTGAAGGATCGCAGCCCGACATGAACCATCTGGCTCTATTTGTATTTTTCTATACTGTAGAAGCACAAAACACATCCCGAACAGACCCTGCAGTAGAGCTTCTGCTTGTTACTGAGACTGAGCAGCACATTCACTTTGATTTTTAGACGTGTTGGGCGGCATGTTTGCTCTGCAGCAGAACAGCTCAGCGTCCACTGACACGGGGAAATAAGAGACGGATGAGTTACACAGAAACAAGTCCGTCTGGTCTGAAGGCCTGAAGTTTTAGACAAAGATATAGACTACTTGATCGTAAAATTCGTGTTCCTGGGCGATCATATTTTTAGTCTTCAAACAGGCGAAGAGGAGAAAAAATATAAACATGATCTGTTTTCTCTTTTCAGCCATCGGGTCCTCCCCTAAAGTTTGTAGATGGAGAAAACAGAAACCATCAACAGGTTGTTGTTCTTTTTTGCTTAAAGAAGCGATGTGTTACTGTTGACGACTAGTGTTTAAAATGGGTACTGCAGACCAAACTCAAAACATTGAAAAGAGCTGTGTCCCCCGCCCCCTCCTCTCTAGTCGATGCTCAGGCAGGTGGTCATGTGGTGGACACTGAAGCTTCAGTGTTTAGCCAGCTCTGCATCGGTCTGTAAACCTTTCTGCGTTCTAACCTCTCTCCATTTTTCAAAAGCATCTCCAATATTGATCCTAGTTTGAGCACGTTTCTGCTCGTGGAGCTTATTAGAAACATGCAGAGGCTTTTTAGGTCGGGTACAATCACTTCTATCAGTTCTCTTGCCCGCTTCCATCGCTGCAACACCTGTTGGTTTCATATAACTGGTGATAACTGGTCTCATATCTGACAAACCGAGGGGCGTCCAAAACGGCCGTCAAACCAACAGGTGTTGCAGCAGACACTGAACACATTCCTCTATTCTCAACCTTTACCTTCCTGTCTCCCTCCAGCGGCCATTTTGGATGACCAGTCAACGTGCGGTCGTGGTGAGCGTCTGGCGCTGGCCTTGGCGAGGGAGAACATCAACAGTCTGATGGAGGGCCCCTCAGAGGCGAGGGTGGAGGTGGACGTCTACGAGCTGTCAAAGGACTCCCAGTATGACACTACAGAAACCAGTGAGTAACTATCAGCTCCTTTACTCCTCGTCTTCATCGTGAAGTCACATGATTTCACTCTGACATTTTGTACTGTGAATGTTCAGTGTGAGGAAGCAGAGCGGTAAAACATCCACCTTCATTAACCAGGCGGGTCGACGGTGAAGCAGGTGCACATGTTTCCTCCACGCTCTGTGAACCTGCACTTTAAAAACCACACACAGTTAGACTAAAGGCTGAGATGGGCTTTAAAACACCTGGAGACACCGTGATCCATGTTAACACTGTTAATACTTTCAGTCTTCTCTCAAAGGCAGGGGCGATTCGAGAGTCTGTCGGGGGGCCGGGGCAAAAATTCAATGGGGGGCCCCTCCGACCAGCGTTCATCCCAAAAACGGCCGCCAGTGTCCCAACGCTTACTCCTCCTCCTCTTTCTTTTTTCACTCCCACACAGATAATTCCTCTTCATTTCCTTTCGGTAATTTTTATTGACAAACTTCGGTTTTCACAGCATGTGATGCTTTGCAGTGCATGGAGAGGGAGTGCAGTCATATGGGGCCCCATTAGGGAGGTTTCCTACAGTCATTGCAATTTGCTGTGGTTCAAAGTTTGTCAGCCCTCAGGGGGCTCCTTATGGCATGGGGCCCCCAAAGATGCACATGTAATGGTACGATGTTGGATGGTTTCTTTAAACAAAAGATAGACAGGTTTTGGTGTAATAATTATTGGTGCCATAGATAACAAAGGACCACATGCAAAATATTCACAAATATTTAAAAGGGTTAGTCTGGTGTAAACCTCCTTGTGACATAATATGTTGTCAATGTCCCACATTTTAAAGAGCAATTGTTTTGCCTGTATACATTTTTAGTTAGACAATACAGTATTTTATAAATTCCTGCCTGTTTATATATGTCTCTAAATACATACATATACACATATATATACCCACACCCACACATACATGCATACACATACTCAAAGTGCACATATATATATTCATACATTATTATTATTATTCCCCTTTTCTTTTTTCTTTCCATTCATGACTCAAGAACAGTTGTCCAATCGCAGATCAGAGTCAGTAATGAGTCATATCATAAAAGAGAGAAAAGGGCCCCAGATTATGTCTTATTTGCACACAGCATCTATGTTGCTGTATATGACTCTTTCCAGTTTCGCTATTTTTCCAAGTGCATTATACCAGTCTAGGGTGGTGGGAGCTGAAGCGTCTTTCCATCTACAGTATATTAGCTTTTTAGCGACTGCAAAAGTTGTAGTTGCTGTTAGTTTGAGATTCGAGTCTGATCCACCCAAAAGCTCTTAATTTTTATACAATCCCAGACCATGTGCAGGTAGGTCCCTGTCTCAGAAGAACATTTCCAGCAGGTAGCCAGGTATCCATTTTAAACCTTTTTTTTTACCTTCTAGTCATTTGGATCCAGAATATAAAGAAAAACCAAAGAAAAGTCAGAGGTTAAGAAATGTCAGAATTATCATTGAATATGTTGGAAGAAAAAAGCAGCTCTTTGTGAATCTACCTCAGGCTGACTTTCAGGGCTTTTGTGGCCAAACTAATTGATCATGTGACGACTCCTGTCTCCCTGATGACTTCCTGTTTGAACATGGCGGAATGGCTCATCACATGCATGCGGCACATACGCACTTATGTGTGATTATTTCCTAAAAGTTCCACGCGTACACACGTATGTGTGTGTGTGTAAGTACTATACGCAGCCTGACTTACTGACGCACGCACGAGAGTTTAGATGTGTGTTCGCTGTTTTACATGTATAAATTGTTTTTTATTGCCCATTAATAAGCGAACGGTTAACTGATGTGAAAAAGTAGATGTTCACTGTCTATCTGTGTTGGCCGTAGAAAAAGTTTCCCCGGATCGTATTTTCCGCGAAAGATCCAGGAAGTGACATTTTATGCACGTTCTCAACGTCCTCCTCACTCCGCTCCGCTTACAGAGATCAACAGTACAAACTCATCACACACTCCCGGTCTTCACCTCCACAGCCAGAGGCCGACTTCCACACACTTCTATCCGCTCTAGGAGCTCTCAAAGGCGGACAATCTCATCACGCACTCCTGCTCTCAGCCAGTGCCTGCCGAGACTGAATACAGACACACAGACTCCTTCACAGACTTTCACATGTGTATGACCACTTACCTCCTCTGTAAACATTATGCCGGTAAATATCCAGTGTTTCACGGCTGATGATGATGCTTGTTTGTGTACGTACGAGCACGTATGACGAGCAAGCGACGGAGAGGGAGCAATAGGTTACTGGTGCAGTTCGCCTAACGGCCATGCGGTATCACTACAAACGCAGTATTTTTGAAAGTTACATATAGCCCCTTTAAGGTTAATCACAGATTAAACCTGCTCACATGAATATGTTGTCACAAACACACAGTCATCATCAGGTATTTCACTGTCAGGCATCAAATGTTTCCAAACCAACAGACTTGAATTTATCCGTCAGTGTTGATCACTGCAGTCTGATCAGCTCCGTGTGGAGTTCAACTTCTTCAGCTAAGTAAACTCAGTTAAACCACTTTTGATATGAGTCTGGCAGTCCCTTCTTCTACTGTACCGTTGTAACCTTCTCTGTCTCTGACTTTTTATGCGCCATGAATCTGTGCTATCTCCGTGGTTAAAGAAGCACTTTAGCGCTGCTCCGCGGTAATCCCCAAAACAGACAGCTGCTGCTTCGGCTGAGATTTTAATAATTTATTACTGGCTAAATAAAATGTGTGTAAACGTCTCTCTTTAAGGCTCTCATCGTATATGTCTTGAGACTCAGCGGATAAAACTTAAGTCCGCTGTTAATATAATGTCTCTGTTTTTTATATAAAAGAGAGAGAAGGCTTATTTTCATTTTAGTTTGCTTGGTTTATTAGTTTGTTGTATTATTATTATTATTATTATTATTATTATTATTATTACAGTTTATTGCAGTAAAATACCTGAAGATGACTGTTTGCATCAAAGACACTGTGTGTTTGTGACAACATATTCATGTGAGCAGGTTTTATCTGTAATGAACCTTATCGAGTGCAAACTGTGCTGTGGCCTGACACACACACACACACACACACACACACACACACCCACACACACACACACACACATAGAACCATAGAGGATGTTAGCACACACGTATGAGTACAAACATGGTGCACATTTCAATACTTCTGTTCTTCTGGTTAAAGTTTGTTCTCATATTTTGATATCAGGTTTGATTCTAAAATGTTCTGAACGTCACGTAATGATATCTAAACGCTTGAGAGGAGGATCTCTTTGTGCCCTTTTTTTCCTTTCATGAAACCAAAAAGCTCAAATTTCATTGTTTGATAAACAAGAAAAACTCCTGATTACTCTGTGAAGCTTTTTAAATCGAGACGAGACGAGTACAGTTCAGAGCTGGATCAAGTCAGTACGCTCCACTGATTCTGTACGTCGTCTTATGTATTTTATTGTCTCTTTTAAAGTGGCTGTGCTGGTTTATTTACTAAATATCAAATGTGAATGAAACAGAGTGAGTATAAACAGCACATGTTTGTAAATGTATCGAAGACATCCATCTTTAAATCAGGTATAAAGTGCAATCATACTTAAATGTGAAAGCGCAAAAAAAAAGGGTTTAAAGAGCCGATTACTTTTAGCAGGAGGGAATCAGTGGTAAAGCAGTGGTTCTGGACTGGTGGGTCGGGACCCAAAAGTGGGTCGCAGAGCCATTTTCAGTGTGTCGCAAATGCTGTCAAAAAGTCCATGAAGTGCTTTTTCAAACAAGTTTGTTTCATTCAGTTTCTTTGTTCTATCACGCTTCTTAACGTCTGAGGTCCAAACTGCACAATTTGTCTTTAAATAAATTTGATTGATTGAAAATTATCAAAAAAATTGGGTCGCGATTTTTTCATGAGGGAGTAGTTGGTGGGTCCAGAGGCTCGACCAGTTGAGAACCACTGATCCAGTGTTGCCAACTCCTCAGTAAGGAAAGTAACTATTGGCTGTCCTAAAAGTCGCTAGAAGTCTCTAAATGACGTCTTCACCTAATTTGTATAAACGGCCATTTGCCAAATGTGAACTGCAATTTTTTTTTTCTAATTTCATGACTTTAATGCTTAGACCCACTTTACATTCATCAATTGTGTCCTGTATTGTTAAATGTTAGAATATCAAATTTAATCAAAAGACTGTGCGAGTCCCCCATTCCCCCAATGTTTATCTTTATCTCTTTATCTTTGTCAAATGCAGTGTTTTATTTTTGTGTGAAACTGAAGAAACATTTACATATAGCTCTGTAAGCCAGGGCGGGAACAGCAGCAGCTTCGTTGCAGTCTGGACGCAGAGTGGTGTGGGTCTCCTCTCTGCTCTCTGACTGCAGCTGGGTCTGCAGCGCGAGCCTAGACCGACAGCCTGTGAGCGCTTTTGAAAGGGGGGGGGGGCTCACGGCAGCACCCACTGCTCGTTGAGGACAGTAACTGCAGAGCAATACGTGCTTAGACGTCAGTTTCTTAAACCAAAAAAGTCTCTGATAACACCAGAAAAAGTCGCTAGATTTGTCGCTAGTAGCTGTTGACAAAAAAAGTCTCCAACAGGATTTGGAAAGTTGCCAAGTTGGCAACACTGCACTGATCTAAAGAGTTGTCTTCAGGCACTCCATATGGTGAGTGGCGGGGTTACACCCTGGACTGGTCACCAGCCAATCACAGGACTGACATATAGAGAGAGAGACAACCAGCCACACTCACATTCACACCTACAGACAATTTAGAGTCACCAGTTAACCTAACGAGCATGTCTTTGGACTGTGGGAGGAAGCTGGAGTACCTGGAGAGAACCCACACATTCATGGGGAGAACATGCAAACTCCACACAAAGAGGCTCCTGCCAGATGGGGATTCAAACCAGGAACCTCCTCGCTGTGAGGTGACAGCGCTAACCACTGCACCATCTAGCTGCCCCTTTTTGGAAGTTTTCATCACATCTTTTTTGAGGACATTTTTGTCTGAAACTTTCAAGATGTTTGTCAGTAATTGTTGTAAATGTTAAGGGATCCCTCTCCACATGAAAATTTAAATTGCTCTGGAGCTGCTGGATGAAGAAACAATACGCTCTTGTTCAAAATGTCTGCTTCAAATGTCCTGTTAGTATTTTATTTGAGACAAACCTTTGTTTTCTCCCTCAGTGTGTCAGATACTTCCAAAGGGCGTGGTCTCTGTGATTGGCCCCGCCTCCAGTCCCGCCTCCGGTTCCACCATCAGTCACATCTGTGGGGAGAAAGAGGTGAGTCCGGTCTGGCTCTGAAACATGACACCTCACTGTGTAGCGTCTGTAATGCAGCTGTAACTTCTCAAACACTGACAGATTCATGAGGCAGCCATTTTCCTGTGACATCACGCTCACTCCGGTGACCTCACATGTCATCATGTCATAATTTTAATCGTGTTTCCAGGTCATAGGTCATTTAAACATCTGACATGTAATTGTCGTTTCACCATTTTCGCGTTGTTGAGAAACTCCTGAAACAATGATACTGAAATAGAGAGAGGTGCAGGAAGTGCAGCTTTTGGTGCATCCATGTTTTCTCATGTCTCATCCCATCTCATCGGTTTCTGCCTCGTTACTCTGCAGCGGCGCTGGAACTAAAGCTGCACATTTAAAGGTTTAACTCGTGATTAACCATTTACCCGCCTGAATAAATCTACACAAGTCCATCTCCGTCTCCCTCTAATCCTTTAAATGTCACATCGTCTCTCTCTGCCCGCATGGCGCTCTCTTTACTTGATTCTCTACCTGGATTTAAAATAAGCTCTGCAGATCTGAAGTGAGGCCCGGATGAGCTGATCATAGTTTACTGTTTGAAACCTGTGCATGTGTGCAGCAGGTGAGCGGACAAGCGGACCATCACACGGGACATTTGGCCTCTGACCTGCTTCTTCATTCCTCACTGATGTGATTAATCTTTCAGTTTGTCATTAACATTTCAGCGTGAGTGGAGCCTCTGTCCGTCACAGAGGATCTTTGCTCTGTGGAGATTAAAGAGAAACTTGTGTCTTTGAAATTAAAACCGTCACTCTCGTAAACCTACAGAGGTTTTTTGATTGAGACTAATAAAATTTTTCTTCTGCCCAGCTGTTCATCTTTTTGGCTCCATAAAAATAAACTCTGAAACTAAGTTCCGGCAGTAAAAGAGGTGATGTCCAGGTGTCAGCTGTGATCAGCTCTGGAACAATCTTTAAACTTCTGATGGTCAAAGATATTTCTTTAAAAGACAAGATTTAAAACCAGGTTTTAACTTCTTCTACACTCTGAGTGTTGTGTTGCTTTGGCTTTACTTGTTCGCTATTTCTAAACACGCTGATATTTCTGTTCATGGTTGACTTTACGACCCAGTGAGCACTAGCCAGGATTTGAACGTTGATATTTGGTTGACAGCAGGGTTAAATCAAGTCTTAATATCCAAGACTGCTAGATTACAATCACAACATTCAGACGCTGTGTCTACAGACGGCGCCTACGACCACCTTTTCAAAGCTCTTCTCACCCAGCGCTCTTTGTTGCTAGGTTACGAAAGTTATCTTCTGTTACCCTCTGACTGTAGGTGTGTGTTAGATAGCGGCGCGATTGAGTTAACTAGATGTACAATGCAGTCAAAGATCGTGGACGCATTGCGGTGGCGAGTATTGTTTTGAATAACAGTATAAAAAGTTTTCGTGTGTAACTGACACACTGACTGTTCAAGAAAAAACACAACATGTTATGTTGAATTGGAAAATTTATGTGGAAAATCGTTGGTTTGGTGGCCATCTTTTCAACATAACTGTCTTTGTGGAGTAGCATTTCTCCTCCTTTCTTCTTCTGTCGTTTTTATTCAGCTTTCTTTTTCCTTCCTGTTTGTTGTTTTCTTTCACTGTCCTGTGTTTGATATTCCAGAAATTCACACTTTCCTTTGAGTGTCGACCATCAAAATGCCGCCAAAGGAAGCCTAAAATGTCATCTTTATTTCCTGCTACCTCCCATCCTAATATCTCTTCTTCCGTCTCACTCTCTCCCTCAGATTCCTCACGTGAAGATCGGTCCCGAGGAGACGCCGAAGCTGCCGTACCTCCGCTTCGCCTCGGTGACTCTGTACCCGAGTAACGAGGACCTGAGCCTGGCAATCGGCTCCATCCTGCGCTCCTTCGGCTACCCGACGGCCAGCCTCGTCTGTGCCAAAGCAGAGTGTTAGTCCGCCTGTTCTAGTTTTGCCGTCTGTCCTCTGCTTCCTTCCTCCTCTCGTCTTTCGTCTCCTTTCCTCTCTGTCCTCTGCTTCCTTCCTCCTCCTGTCTTTCCTCTCCTTTCCACTCCGTCCTCTGTGTCCTTCCTCCTCTCGTCTTTCCTCTCCTTTCCTCTCTCTCCTGAGCTTCCTTCCTACTCTCGCCTTTTTCTCCTCCACTTCTCCTTCATCGATCTCTCTCCTGTTTTTCCGCCCGACTGGTCCCCGCCCCGGCTCACAGTTTAAACACCGCTCCTCTCTGCCTCTCGGCCTTTAGCCGTATCCTCGTCCTGTTAACGGGGCTGTTTAACAGGCCTGTTCTCTTGTTGTGCACGCTGCTGTCGGACAGTGAAACCCGGCGGCGCCGTGATAAACGTTTTATGGCGGCGATTAGACGAGACACGCCCGTTGTTTCTGTCAGGGTCGAAGGAGACGGAGGCCGAGCGGCGCTGAGTGATAAAAGTGAGGTGAAGCAGGAGAAGAGGACATATTTAAAAAGTTACTGAGGAAATATCTTTATTTAGAGACTTTGTCTTTCATTTTAAAGTATTTAGATAATAAATATGTAGTCTGATTTCTAGTGGATACATTCAGCGGTTCTGAATGAAAGAGGACATTTGTTTCAAAGACACAAAAGGACAATAACAGCAGATCTTATTTGGAGTGGTAAAAACCTGCTCCACAGGTCCGGGGCAGCTTCGATTGGCTCCCGGTTTCCAGCCTTGTTTTGGGCACTAGGAGCTGCTGGTTGGTGGATCTTAGTGATCTGACTGGAGTGTCAATTTCCTCATTAATTATTAGTTTTTCAGAGTCAGCAGGTCACATCTGTCACACTTTGGATTCAAACAGGAAACAACATGTGCAGAAACATGAACATGATGCAAACAGTAAACGCTGGTACACAACGGTTTCTTTACACGTTTGCTGAGTTTGAAATGTGATGCTGCAAATGTTTCTAAAAGTTTGAGTTCTCATCAGGATGACATCCTTACCGTTACAGCTCCACTAGTTCTGACGACGGATAGCGTCTCAACTCTCAACAAAAGTAATTAGGGAATATAAATGTTATGTTTTGACATTTTCGTCGAGGAGATGAAGAGTGGAGAAAACGTATCCAGCTCTGTTTTCATCAATCAGCTCATTCATCAATAAATATTCTTAAAAAAGCCGAGAGGCAGGGGCGCTGCTTGTCAACAGGCAAGGTAGGCAACTGCGTGGGGCCCCAGACCAGTACAGGGGGCCCCACAGGGCTGACAAACGTTGGACCAAAGGAGCAACCCAAAATGTTCAAATTTTGCAATGACAGTAGAAAACCTCCCTAAGGGGGCTCCATGTCTGATAGCATTCAATCTTGTTGCCCTACTGATTGCCGGTGGGACAGCCCCTGGAATAACTTTTGCCTAGGGCCCCAACAGGACCTAGAATCGCCACGCCAAGATGTGCACCTTTACACATTTATTTTTGTCTCTTTTTTTATCACTTTGTGTTTATTTCTCAGCCGCAGATTCATTTTCATGTCATCCAACATTTGCAGTAACACATTTAAAAATCAGCACAAACGTGTAAAGAAACAGACGTGTAAAGAAACAGACGTGTAGCAGCGTTTAATGTTTGCATCTTGTTCATGTTTCCTTTTTAAAATCCAAAGAGTGAAAGAAATTACCTGCTGACTCTCGAGCGAATAATGAAGGGCTGAAAACGGATCATTTTGGATAATAATTAATGAGGAAATTGACCTTAAATACTGAGATTAAGTGTGTTTGCAGATCTAATTGGTTGTAATTGGAGGTATCCTCAGAAAAGTGCAGCTCTCTAATAATCGGCGCTTCAGAGGAAGCAGACTTGTTTTTGTCCCGATTGATTCTCTGTGAGGAAAATTAATGGACTTCCAACATAATCACCTTCACTCTGGTCTCAGTTTAATGCAGACCTGCAGCTTTGTGGAACAGTTATTTGTCTCTAATGACTCTGAGGTTCATCAATCTCTCAAACCCGTTTTGTTTTTTTAGAGTGAAAGTGATCATTTCAGAAGTAAACAAGGGAAACAATCAGCCGAGGATTATTTATAGACTGCTGTCGTCTCTGCCAGCGGCCCTGAGAGTCTTTCAAACATTTTTAGTCAATCTTCAAAATTGGCTGACTTTTTCCCCCCCCATGATGTGTTTGTTATTGTTACACTTTCTGACTTCTGACTCCACCCCCTTTAGGTCTGCTGCGATTGGAGGAGCTCGTGCACCGCTTCCTCATCTCCAGGGAGACGCTGTCGGTTCGAATGCTGGACGACAGTTTGGACCCGACCCCCCTGCTGAAGGAGATCCGTGACGATAAAGTGGCGACCATCATCATCGACGCCAACGCCTCCATCTCCTACCAAATCCTCAGGAAGGTCAGGAAACACAGCCTTTCTCCTCACATGCTGAATGTACATTACATCCCTGACAAAACTTTTATTCTTAAAGGTACAGTCAGCAGCTTCCGCCTTCAAAATAAAATACAGACTTCTCCTAAAGTAAAGCTGCTCCATCGTCCCTTCTGGGCCTCTGTACATGTGTGGTGGTGACTGTCTGACCCTGTCCTCTGACTGGATTTTACTGTTCTGGTTTGTTCTGGTTGACTCGGGACGTTTTTCTGGCGGGGAGTTGGTGTGTTTCCTCCAGCCAATGACAGCCAGCAGGTGAGTTTAGGAGTGGATACAACCCAGAGATTGGACGCTATTCACGTGAGGTGAAACACCAAGCAGATAAAGCTCGTTCTAAAACGAGGGGGAACCTTGTGTTGTCTTTTACCCATTGACGTGGAGTTGGTCTGCTTCTTGTTGGACAGGCAGGTGACAAACACCAGCGGTTAGCTTGTGCTAGCTTGCAGTGTAGGTACAAGCAGTAAACGTACACAATACGTCCTGCAGGGGGCGGGGCTTCTGGGGGAGATGAGCCCAGGAGGAGGGGCCCAGTTTGAATGTTGTGTCCTCAAACATTTCAACTGACTCCAACTTTAATATCTGTATTTTTTCAGGCCTGCACTGGTTTATTTCCCCCCCAGAATCATAAATGATCTGAATGCTGACGATGTGATCTAGAGCCACTAAGAACTAACGCAGGACTTTAAAATTGTGAACGCACTATAATGTTAAAACTTGGATCTCAAGCAGATATGGGCTCAGATAAATCTAGCTGTGGCAGCAGTAAAGTCTCCAAGAGGCCAGATAACGAGCCCAATATTTTTTCCTTTTTTGGCCAGGACAGCTGAAGAGAGACAGGAAACGTTGTGATGAGGACTACAGCCTCCGTACATGGGGAGCGTAACATAACCACTAGGCTACTGGCGCCCTGTGTTACTGGAGGATACCTCTATATAGACAACTCAAAGCAAAAAAATAGTCAAAAAATACAAAACACACAGAAAATTTTCAGAGTTTAGACCCTCAGAGACAGACAAGTATTAATATGATGTCTGAAACACCTGAAGTGAGCCTGACCTCCTCCTCTGTCCTAACACACGCTGTACACGTTCACACACAGATCAGAGTCTGACAGATTGTTGGTTTGAGAAACGCCTCTGAGCAGCTCTGCTTCTGTCTCTGTTTGAAACATCTCTATTTTCTGCTTTCTTCCTCACTGGTGTTTATTCATAGAACAGGACCTTCAGGTTGGTTTCCTGCCAAAGTGGTTGGTAGACTTTACAGCCCCAAACTAAATGTACCAGCTCTTGGCAGGTTGTAATTTCACTGTGTACCCGCTCACCTTGGGGGGGGGGAGTCTGAGAAGTTTTGAATACAAAGTGAAAACACTCAGTGACTCTGGCAGGTTTGTCTTCTTTTTCTTTTTCTTGTAAAGCTTGGTTCCTGCAGGCTGAACAGAGGAGCGGAGGAAAGCTCTGTGTGTGTGTGGAGGTTAATGGATTAATCACAGAGGCAGTCGGATGCTCCTCACTGTGAGGTTACAAGTTCAAATCCCAGCCTGACTTTGAGCAGCTGCATGAAGCCAGTCTGAAGCTGCAGCTGCTCAGAAACACTTTAAAAAGGAAGGTTAAGTGGAGGAAAGAGTTTCTGCAAGAGTCAATTATTATCCTTAAACTCATCGATCCAGACGTAAGCACTGACTCCCGTCCCGGTGGAGAGAGGCTGATGTTAGAAAGCTACAAGATCCAAAGAGGCAGGCGTTCAAAGTGATGATGGCTTCCTGTTCAAATCAACTTTATTCATGAAGCCCACAACACAGTTCACCCAAAGAGAAGACTTCAGAAGAGAAGGCTGTGCTGCTTTAGTTATTAACAGTTAAAGCGCAAAAGTGTGTTTTGAGATTACTCTTTAAGATGTCATTAATGTTGGGAAATCGGATGAGAGGGAGGAGGAGATTTCCGTACTTTTGGGGCACAGTTAGAAAATGTTCTGACCCCCTTACCGGACCAAACACAAACCTGAGTGTTTGATCTAAAAAGTTGGCTTCCACTGATATACCAGTGTAAATTGCTGACACATGGCATCATTACCGTGGCTAGCAGCCTCCACCATCACAAACTGCACACAAGATGATGCGATTGAGAATTCATCCTCATTCTCTGTGCATTGCACGCTGTGCTGGGAAAGATAGCGACACAGACCAGGCTGGCTGCACGTCTTTGAAACATTCCCTCTTGCATTTAAAGCAAACGGTATATTGTTCAGTATATAAATCTTGTGGCGTTCTCTTCTGACTGAAACACTCCTGTGTTAAAGTTAATGAGTGACCAGCGGAGTCGTGCAGCGTGAGCCCGACTCGCGTCTGTCTGTAATACCCAACCTTTCCTGTAGGCTGAGAGCTCTACTACCGTACTGTAGCTCGTTGGAGAGCAAACACAGACTTCACTGAACACAAAATAAATCATCACGCAAGACGACAGTTCAAACCTTTTTTCTTTCATGGAAACAGACTGTGTCTTATATCCCATATTATACGGTAAGTCTATAGTCTATATGTTCATACTATTTAGAGGACGTTTTGGAAATAGAGACAAACATCCGAAAGTTACAACACACCTCATCTCCGCTCAAACACTGCATGAATAAGTGAATGTATGTTCACAGCCTGCAGATGTTGGTGAGAGGGACCTGTGTGCTCTGCAGAGAAACACCTCCAGTTTGAACATCAGCTGGGTTTGATTCAGAGTTTTTTAATGTCGTGGTCACAAATAGGAATGAAACATCCTGACGCTTGTGATTTAGACGTCTTCAGTTCTTATCCAGCTCTGATTAGATCTGGATGTCTAGATGTCTTTTCACCAGTGAGTTGTGTCTGAACTGACTGACTGAACTCTCCTCTATTGTCCTCCTCTTTATTATCTCCTCCCCAAACGTCTGAGCTGCTTTAGTCACTCACTGATTCTTTGGTTTTATTCTGAGAAATAATCACTGTTTCAAGGTGGTTTCATGTTATTAAGGAAGCGGGAACGCTGTGACACAGACGCTTGGGTGAAACATAATCGTCTCCAATTTGGAAGAAAACAAGACGAGCGAGTGTTATGACGCAGACGGTTCTGAGATTTTAATCAACTATGACTCATTATGTTCCGGGGAAAGTTTGAACAAATTTACTTCCTGTTGCACTGACATTAATTTTTCTTCTTCTTTTGTGACCTGCAGGCCAGCGAGCTGGGGATGACATCAGCCTTCTACAAGTACATCCTCACCACCATGGTACGGGCTGCTCTCCTCTTCTTTTGTACAGTTTAGTCCTCTTCATTCTCTCGTCTTTTAATGCTTTCCTTTCATTCAGTTTCTGAGAGATGTCCTCTTCTGCGTCCGTCTCATTTTTGTTTTATTATTTCCTTTTTGCTCTCAGTGCCTTTTCTTCTCTTACCTTTCTCCCTCATATCGTTAACAGCATATTATCTTCTCGACCTCATGTTAGCTTCCTTACCTTTTATCCTTTAGATTTTTTCTTTTCTAAACAATGTACTCATTAAAGGTCATATATCCTCCTCCTCCTCTTCAGTGTAAATAAGTCTCAGAGCTCCTCAAAACATGTCTGTGAAGTTTCTTGTTCTAAATCCACTCTGATCCTGTATTTGATCATGCCTATAAACCCCTCTATTTCAGCCCTGCTCAGAACAGGCTGTTTCTGTGTCTGTACCTTTAAATGTAAATGAGCTGTGTTTGACCACGCCCCCTCTCTGGAAAGGCTTGGGTGTCTCAGTCTTTCTCGCTCCATGCCCTATTGTTTAAGGTGAGAAGGCAGACTCAGAGGGCAGAACAAACACCTAGCTGTGGGAGTGTCACCCCCCTGGGGGAGGGGTTACTGCCCTTTGTGATGTCATGAAGGGAAAATCTCCAAACGGCCTGTTTGAGCACACATTTTCTGAAAAGTGGAGCAGGTAAAAGGCGGAGAGGATGGACTTTTCTCATCATTGGGAGGTTTGTAGATGGACTAGGGACATATTAGTGTTAGAGGAACATAGTGAAGAGGATTTTACATCATATGTGACCTTTAACCTTTCCTTTTTTTTCCTTCCCATCCTCTTTTCTCATCTTCTGTTTGTTTGCTTCTTTATAACTCCATCTTTTTGTCTTTGCACCCCTCCTATTTTCACATCATTCTTTAAATATTTCCTCGTCTGTCCTCTTTACTTTTCGGTCGCTCTCTCTCCTACGATCACCACCTCACTGTTTTTGACTGTTTTAGATGTAAAGATGTTGGTGGTCACGTCCTCCTTCCTCACAAACTGCCTGCATATGTCTCCTCTTCAGCCATAAATCCTCTCCCCCTCCTCTCTCTCTCTCAGTTCATTACAGATGCACGCTGGCCTCACCGCCGTTCGTCATCATTATAATTTCTCTGTCCGTGTCATGCCCTTGTGCGCGGAGACTTTGCGTGGATAATAACTCGTCTCGATCTCCGCCTCGTCTCTAAACTCTGTCGTGTCACAGTCTTTAACGGAGCCTTTCGCAAGGGCACGTCACGCCCGGCTCGTAGACCAAGGGCAATACTACTGTTCTGTCCTCCTCGAGCAGAACTCTGGATCAGAACCAAGAGTAAAATAGCTCCCCCGACTTCACTTCAACACACGCTAATACACCTGCAGCCCCGTCTCTGACCTACCGTTAACTTTGTGTGAAACACGCTCCGCTGACTGTGACAACACTCGATGTGAAGAAATAGTTTTCAACCAAGAGACGGGTATTTTGATTGTCAGTAGATTGCAGAAACCATGTATGAGAAAGATATCTATTTAACCTGAAACATCTGTTACATCTCTCGGTTCAAAGCTAGCAGACTTCCAGAACATAGACGCTGCTGGTCCACTGCTGCCTTTGTGTTGTTGTAACACAGCTACAGTGATGAATGCAAAGTAGAACTTCACTGTAGTCAGTGGACTCCGGTTGGATTTGATTTGAGTGATGTAACAGGTGTTTCTGGTTTTTTGAAGCATCATACTCAGACACTAAAAGGTCTATCTGTGCAGCGATCATTTCTGTCATGTGTTCAGACACTTAGGGTGCACTCACACTCGGCCCAGGTGCTTAAGCACGATGGTCCCCCCTCCAGATTCACCCGCTGGCTTGCACTCACTCTGCTCCAGGACTAACCTGAGCACGGTTACTTCTTGTCCACCTCCTTAGTTTAGAAACTAAGACAGGTGGACTAAAAAAACAAAAATAAATAAAAGGGACGAGTCCGCGTCCGCACACTAAGAATAACCTTGCCAGGGCCATAGATGTGTACCGAGCTTGAGCACGAATCGGAGCACTCACACAAGTCAAACGAACTGGACTTTAGGGGTGAAGCGTGCTTAGGCACATAATAACGATCTGAGCCTGTCGGGGACAGAAATTAAACTTTTACCTGATGAAGATAGATCAGACGTATTTACTCAGAAGGAATATATTGCAGCCTGTTTCGAGGCAGCCGCATGAACAGATTGACTGGTGTGAGTCCAAAAAGTATAACCTGTTAGTCAGGAGGTCCCTAAAGAATGGAGAAAAAAACACATCCCAGGGTTTTAAAAATAAAATGCCCCTTTAGCTGCTGTCTTGTTGGATTGCAGCCAATCGTCTTTTCCACCAGAATCTTCTTCACCGACAGTTCAGCTGGTGAAGAGTTTACGCCTCTCTCAGCTCCTTGTTTTGGTTTTAAAGCTCCTTCTCTGTCTCGTAAGCAGCAGCTGCTGAAACCAGAGTTTATGAGAGCGCTGAGATGGAAACAGACAGAAAATAATTCTTCCATGTAACGCCATCCGACCCTAATGAGGGTCAATCCAAACATTAGTTTGCGTTCATTAAATCCGGGCTAATTGGCTGCAGGATCACACGTTTCCCTCCGAGTGAGGCCATCTGGATCTCCGGCTTTATTTATGAACGCGGTGCTGTCCCGCCAGGTCCGTCCTGTCTGTGGTCCAGATTGGAAGTCTTTACGACCATGAGGTGGACTGCCATGAGAATAAACATGTAATTCCTCTCATGATGAATTGTGGGAACTTTGGTGATCATCGTCTGGGCTCCTGGTTTTAACAGCGTCTCCTTAGCTGCTGAAACAAGTGAATTTACCCCAATGAGGGATCAATGCATTTAACCTTCCACCTCTCGTCCAAACGGTCTCATTTGGTTCCAGAAATACTTGATGGTGGCAGCAGAAATGTAAATAAAGGCTTGACAAGGGGTTCATTAACCAATGACTGGCATCGCACAAGATAACCTTATCCGACCGTATTCCCTCCCTTAAGGGAAGAATCTTAATCTTCTTTATTTCCTTTTAAAATCCCCCAAATCTGCACCAGAGGATTCCTTAAGGGTTTACTTTATTACCAGAAACCCTGCACCTGTCCAAGCGGACATCCTGCAGCATCACGGCGCCCTTCTGGGATGCTGTCGCAGTGTTTACTCCCTCAGCAGAGCTTCCACTGGTCGCTTCCACTCCTCCAGCCAACAGCTCTTTGTCACGGCTGGCGGGCCTACAGTCTGACAGTGTACTTGGCTGTGGCTGAAATTGATTTGGCAAACGCACCATCAGCAACAACAGAGGAGGCAGCAGCTTCCCGACAGGCGGGGCCGAGGCTTTGTTAACTAAACAAGTGTTTGAGGGATTCAGGGGGAAAGGAAATTAGCCTCGCACAGGTTAGCAGCTGGAAGGAGCTGCTCTCACCGTCTTCAACCTGCCCGGATGTTTGGCTGAAGCTCAAAGTTTGGAGCGTCTCCTCCTCCACCTCGTGTCCTCTGCAGAAACAGTTTCTGCAGACTGGATAAATCCTGTGCCAGAATATTTTTAACCCAGCCGGGAGAAGCGGCCAAATGGTGATGATGATGACAGTCCATCCGTCAAACGCTGAAGACCAGTGTGAGACACGTCTGCAATCTCAGTTTCTATTTTTATCTTTTTGTGAGTCGGAGTGTAAAAAAACAAAACATGAAGCAAAAGAAAACATGAGCAGAAACTAAAGAAGACATTTCCCAAACCCAGCAGGTCCCAACACGTTCCAATGAAACAAACAAGACACCAGAAAAAGACCCTGAAGCACGGGGCGAAGGACTGAAAACAAGTGATACAAAATATGACAAAATATACAAAGAATGAAAGAAATAAAGAACTAAAAGAGGTCAGGGTGTTGGACTCTGTTGATGTCACAATGACTCATCTTGTTTCTACTCATTCCCGGACATCTTTAGTGCCAGCAGCAAAGTAAAAAAAACGAATATATTTCAACCACTCACTAATCAAAAGGGATCAAATGAAGCCAATAGAAACGCTGGAAGTCCTGAAAAAAGCTGGAAAAACAAAAAAAATACTTTGTGTCCTGACTGCCTTCAGATTGTAAAATTAGTGAGATTGAGATGATAGTTAAGATCAATTTGTCCATTTTCAGAGGCACTGCTTGTCAATAGGCAAGGTAGGCAACTGTTTGGGGCCCCTAACGATTGACAAACTCAAAACCCTAGCATTGCTGAAATTTTTAAATGGCTGTAGGAAACCTCCCGAAGGATGCCCCATTTAATAGCACTCACTGTCAATGCCCTGCTAAGTGTTGCATGCATTATTGCTGTGAAAACCAAAATTTGTCAATGACGGAAAATGGAGAGGAATTATCTATCTGGGAGTGAGAAAGGAAAAGAATAATGAATGCTGGTTAGAGGGGGCCCCCAACAAATTTTTACCTAGGGCCCTAACAGACCATAGAATCGCCACCGTCCATTCTTTCATTCTTTATTAAATGCTGCTGTTCTTGTAGTTTTTTGGTTTTACACGACGAAAAAAAGGATTACGTGGCTTTTTCAACCCCATAAACCCGTCAAACTGAGTCCAAATATATCGTCTAATTCACAAAGCACACACAAAGGGTTGAATGCACCGCTTATTGAAGCTCTAGCTAAAGTTAGATCAGGAAGGCTTTCATTTCTGCACGCTGGTTTTATTGTTTAGTCACATATTATGTCACATCGCTCCTCCACTCATTTTATTGTCTTCATCAGCTGGTCACGCCTATCCAACAGCCCTTCTCCACTCCCTCATCGATAGCCTAGCATGCCTCTTTCTGTCTTTTTTAAATACCACTAGTTCATTCATGCCATGGTTAAGAGTGACCCTCCACCTCTCCATCATCGCCAAGCCTTCACAGTTTCCCATTCTTCATCCCATCAACCTCAGATCACAGCATCAGCCATCTTTTCATCGACCCCGGTCTTCACAGCTCAATGAGCCTCAGACGACATCGTCAGCTAACGCCTCCAACGCCGGTGTGTCTGGACTCCATGTGGGGGTAGATCTCGCTCAGGGCAGACATCTTGGATCACCCTATCTTCCTGTAGAGTTCAAACGCCAAATAATCTCTGACAATCATTCAGTACATCTATGTAAAATGATGATTTATTGATTGATTGAACTACGCTGCAGAGCAACCAGGATCAGGTTTAAAGATACCGTAACTCTTTCCCATCGATTCATTAGAAGTTTAACGATGTTCAAACAGGATCTGTGAAGAACTCAAAATAAAACCTTCTTTAAGAGAGAGCGTCATGGTTGTTCTGAAGGAGTGAACACGCTCTCAATCAGCTGGAGAGCATCGACACAGTGAAAGCAGCAGGTGAGTGTTTGAAACAGCACCCTGCCTGTTATCTCTGCTCTGCTCTGCACAGCTGAATCTAAATGTTTCATAGTCAGCATCTGTTTCAGAGCAAACACAACTCCTCCGAGGGACGGGCAGCAGTTTGATTCAGGTTTTGTTTCGGCAGCAGAGCTCAGCGTGACGCCGGCTCGCCCTCCGGGGTTATTTGAAGTTCTTTGAAATTCCCCAGCATTTGATGTCCATCTTTAAAAATAAACCTTTATTCTCTTGTTAGTCTGCGCTGAATTCATAAACACGACTTGACATTGTGCAGCCTGCAAAAAAATACTGGAGCCCTTCGTTTCCACCCTGCCTGTTCTTTCATCCCCCGCTCATCAGATATCCCCCCCGCTGTGATCTGTGAGGGGGGTTCTTTCTGCTCCTTACACACATCTCTTCTTCCTCTCTCTCTTTGTACGTGTGCCTCCTCAGGACTTCCCTCTGCTTCGGCTGGACGACGTGGTGGACGGTCAGTCGAACATCCTGGGCTTCTCCATGCTGAACAGCACTCATTCCTTCTACCTGGAGTTCCTCAGGAGCCTCAACCTGTCCTGGAGGGAAGGCTGCAACATCAGCCCGTACCCGGGGCCAGCGGTGAGCCACGCGTCCACACTGAAACACAAAATGAACAGAACTGTTTGTCATACCTTTGAATACAAAGTCAAATAACTTCTTAGCCTTAGCATAACCCTCGCATGCTGTCAGAACATGAAAAGGAACAGAAAAGCAGCAATCATCTACTGATAGGTTGGGAACTGGATGGACGCCGGTTCAAGTCCTAGGTTTACTTAAGAGGTGCCACTTCACTTCCCGAGCACGGCCGAGGTGCTCTTAAGAGTATGATGTGTAAACTTCACTCACATGATTTGGATCCTCTTATTTGGACCTCTGATTTGGACCAGTTTGTCTATCACACTCTCCGTCGTCCCGGTCCGATCTGTCCGGGCAGAGTTGGTCTCATTGTTGTGATAATGAATGTGATGTGACTAACATATATTGTGTCCTTCTCCCCTCCTCCGTAATGAAAGGAGCCGTCAGGACAAATGATTGTGTTCAGTGTTTGTCTCATTTGCAGCTCTGATATCAACAAAGTAATAACAGCCGAGCAGACGGCTTGAATAAAGATAAGAGTGATGACAAAAGAGTTTGTCTCAATCACTGAAGACACCATTATCACTGCTCACAATAACCCCCCTCCTCTGCGCCCCCCCCGAGGGTGTAATACCCTTATTTAAATCCCAACTCTGTTTATTATTGAGATGATTACAGACATTACTCGACGATCAGATCAAGATTAGTGTCTGAAACGACTGCTGGCACAGAAACATGAAACATCCAGGGCTGCGTTGGGATGACTATTTTTAGGTTTTAATTCGTTTAAAATGAAAAGGTTCTCCCTCGAGACGAGAGGATTAGCACTGATTCAGAGGCAGTCTTGGTCCCTGCATACTTTTCTAAAAATGCACCCACATACTCTCAGCCAGTTAGGCCAGTTATTGGATGACTATTGATGTGTTCAGAGATTGCAATATGGCCGATGCACTCCTCCCAGCTTGCTCTTAAAGGCAGGGTTGGTCATTTTTGAAAACTAGCATTATTTTGAAAGTAGCATTTCCTCAGTGGTCCATCTACAACCACCCCCCCCCCCCCCCCCCTGTGCTCCCTCAAAAGCCACGCCCCCTCACTTACATGCACCAGAAGAGGACCTGCGTAGACAGAGTCTACATTTCTCTGCAGGAACTGTAAATAGATTGAGTTCAAAATAAGACACAGATGTTTGGCATGACATGACATCAACACTTATCATTTGTATACAATCTGAGCTCCTGCCAAGGGTTTGATAGCAGATTGAGTGTTTCCAATTAGCAACGGACAAACTGGTTGTTTATGAAAGCCCAGTGCACACAAACCCACCCACATACTGGATGACTGGTTGTGATTGGAGCCGTCTCAAATCTGTCTGAACGGAGATGCATCTCCCAGAGCAGCTGGAGCCGTGTTTGGTAGATTTGTCTTTTCAGAGAAAATACGGCACAAAAAATGTGAAATACCTGTAACTGTTCCTGGTACTTCAACCCCCTGAACACTGAGGTAACTTCACTCTCCGAGTCATGCTACATGACAACACTTAAAGTAGCAGCATGTTACCTGAGAGCAGAGGAGACAGCAGCAGGAGCAGACTGACTGAATGAGTGGTGAGAGCTGCTGATTATTTTTCACTCTCTCTGTCTCTATCTTCCCTCCTCCATCATTCTCTCTTCAAACTGTAATTAGTTATCGTCATCCAGCCCTGAAACTATCGACTCGCAGAGAACTCCAATCACACTCAGTCATACATCCATCTTTTTTTATCAGCAGTCGACAGCCTGTGCAGCTCTGCCTCCGTACGATCTGTCTGATTCCCTCAGAGTGTCGCTTTGACTGACAACTGACCAAACAGAGCAGAACGTCAGACTGTGATAGGATCGCTGAGCCGTGCGAGCCGCACGCTGAACGCCACTGATAGCAGGAGCGCCTCGGTTTTCTCCTGTCTGATATCATTCCCCCAACGCGTTCATGTGTAGGAGCATGAACAAAACACACAAACACATTTATCTTTTGTCTGAGACTCACTGATCGTATGAGCAAAATCGAATCAAACCACAGAGAATAATCACCATCTCTGCAGCTTGACTGAGCTTTTTAGCGTCTTTTAGCCTCGGGTTTTGGTTGGATGGGACAGTTACAGACCGAGTAAAGACTGGGTTATTAAAGAGGGGCAGTTGAGAGCCAGGTGTGTCCCTCAGGAGAGATATAAAGTTGTCTCACAGCATGTCTGCTTCCCTTGGTAGTGACTGTTAAGTCTGTTTAAAATTGCTGTTTGTTTTGATGAACACTACCGGTGTTAAACAGCTAATTGTCGATGTCTTTCAACATCTCGTCTGTTTTCTGTGTTCCAGCTGTCATCGGCGCTGATGTTCGATGCGGTTCATGTTGTGGTGAGCGCCGTGCGAGAGCTGAACCGCAGTCAGGAGATCGGAGTGAAGCCGCTGAGCTGCACCTCCCCACTGATCTGGCAGCACGGAACCAGCCTCATGAACTACCTGAGGATGGTAAACACATACACACACACACACACACACACACACACACACACACACACACACACACACACACACACACACACACACACACAAACCACAACACACACACACCCTCTGACATTCTGGGACTCTTTGATATGAATGTAAAGCTGCTGGATCAGAGTCCTCACTGAAACCCTTTGTGTAAAGTTAGTTTGTATCAAGTGCAAAGAAATTCAAACAACTGCAGTCCAAATTCAAATCAGCGGTCTCCCCCCCTCCCCCTCCTCTCTAGAGTTGATGCTCACGCATGTTGCAATGCCCTGGACACCGAAGCTTCAGTGTTTAGCCAGCTCTGCATCGGATGCAGACACAGTTCTCACTTTGGTCATACAGGGACACAGTGACTGGCAGCGCTGGGATCCCTTAGTCCCGCAGTACCCCCCACATTACCCCCCCCTGGGACACAGTCATCAGCATTCTCCAGGTCTACAGAGGACATGTAGACCGGATTAGCATACTCCCATGACCCCCCAAGAAGCCCTGTGAGACTAAAGATCTGGTCCAGTGTCCCACGGCCAGATGGAATCGTCATTGTTCCTCCGGTTAGACACTCGGCCCGAGCCACCTTTCCAGCGCCCTGGAATACAATTTTCCCAGAGAGGCTGAGTAGTAGGATGTCCCGATTGTTAGCGCACACCCAAAAATGTAAAAAAAAAAATGGTGAAAAACCTGAAATGTAATATCGGTGAACTCACACTTCTTAATTTATGTAGAAATGCTGCAACACAGTGCCGTTGGGAGACTGCAAGCCTTAAGATGCTAATGCAGGAGATCTGGGTGGACTGATGGCTCTGCAAGTGACTCAGACATGTGACGCTGTTGTTCACATCTCATCTCTTTCAGTGTCAAAATTAGTTACTTTGAACCATCATAACTGTCTTTTGTCAGTAACCAAAACTTTACAAGATTGGAAAACTGAGACCTCTCACATCTGAAGACATTTTTCTCCCAGACGGGTACCTGCAGGTCCGACATCTACAAAACCACAGCTAGATTCTTGTTGAGGTTATGTTACGTCATCCTCCTGGGGGAAGAAACAGAAGATCAGATACCGAAGCAGAGTTTGGCCACAGCTGCTCTCCTGTGTGTGTGCAGTGGTTTGATTTTCTGCACCAATCAGAGGTGTAGCATTAGCTGGACTAGCATGTGAGTGAATGAGTCCCTTCTTCAAGCTTTCACTGGAGCAAACCACCTCTGCGTGAAAAAACATGTGCTAACAAAACTCGAGCATTCAGAGAGAGCTCCAGAAGTACATTGATGTAGGTCAAGCAGCATTTCATAATAAAAGCGCCCGGGAAGTGATGGTCACTTTGGCTAGTTATACAATAAGCCTTCTAAAGTACAGGGGGCGCTTTCTTACCGTTACCACCACAGGGGATTGGACGTTAACAGAAACTGAATTTAACAGATGTTAAAGATGATCATTAATGATTAAACGATTAATGGAAGTGTACCCAGCTTGGGTCCTTTCAAGTCATGTATTGCTTCCTGACCCCTATCCTGTCCCACAGAAACACACACTCACATCCACACACTCACATCCACACACTCACACACACATCTCTCCCTCTCTCTCCCCTCCACCGCTGATTTTCATTTTCGTGTTTATGTTATTTGTTCTTGTCTCCTATTTCCCAGTTTCCATCCGTCTGCCACTTCTTGTTTCCTTCATCCACTGAGGATGCCTCGCTCTCCCCCCCTTCCTCCCCCCTCTCTCCATATTGTTTTTGTTGCTCCCAGTGCATCGCTTCATCATCTCTGCACTGTTTTTGGCAGCAACCAGAGACCTCTCTTCCTCCCTCCCTCAGTCTCTCGCTCTGTCTCTGTCTGCCTCTGTCTCTCTCTCGCCGCAGAGCGTTTTAGGGACGTAATTCATCTTGAGTCATGCAGACACGCACACACACACACACGCACACACATAAATACACAAACACTCACAATCATTCATACTGTACGTGCACTCAATTGCACATTACTCACATAAACTCAGGCACAAAATGAACAGTTGGCTGCACACAATTCTCACACTCATTTGCACAGTTATGCAAACAAACACAGACGCTCACACACACAGACAGATTCATGAACAGCTCTTTCACTCTGCTCTGGTTGTGTCTGTCTGCCCGCTCTGCTTCTCTGAACGATACCAGTCTTATGTTTTGATTTGAATCTTTGTCCGTTTCAGCATCTTCATTCTGAGGTTTTCTGTTAATGTCTAGCTAAATTCCTGCTCCAAACATTTTCATTTCTGCGTCTCATCAGGTGGAGTACGACGGTCTGACGGGTCACATCGAGTTCAACAGCAAAGGCCAGAGGACAAATTACACCCTGAAGATCCTGGAGAAGCACCCCGGGGGCCATAAAGAGGTCAGAGGTCAAATGGGGTCAAGTGGGAGGCATAAAGTTCAGAGGTTAAGTCAGCTTTGCGGGCCCTGTTTAAGCCTGATTTATACTTCACGGTGTGGCCTTGAACCTAAGGAGAAGCTACAGAGGAAGCCTGACGTGCACCCCCTCAAAAATGTAACTAAGCATCGAAATTATGCAACCACAAGCCCCGTGATTAGGCCGCTGGGTAAAAAAAACAAAAACATTTTTGTACCAAATCGTTGCCAATGTATTTGTGTAATTTTAAGCGGTTGCAGGAGTTTGATTGGATTTTTTCGGTAATTAGAAACAAGAATTTACTAAGTATCGGGGGCCTCTGACTTCTAGAATCATTTGGAAGTTTGAGATGCTCATCTTGTGACGGCCCTTTTGGAAACTACTGTTCACACAACTTCACGTATAGATTCTTAAAATGATTTTCTCCTGAGCTCATGTAGAGCGTCGATTTCATAACGTTCAGGTTTACAGCCACAGCATCGATCACCTGGCTGGGAGCAGTTCTCGTCAATACAGTCAATTTAAAGTGATGTTGATCATGTGGGTCGAGTGTCGCTTTACGACCTCGGAAGAAAATTTAAAAGGTTAGAGGTCAACTGAGGTCACCAGAGGGGTCAAACAGACACAGAGGCCGGCAGTAAAAAGCGATGCAGTGTCGGGGAATCTCATTTTATTTTTTATAAAGACTTTGACTTACGTTTCTCTTTCTGGTAAAATAATCGTCTTCCTCTTCAACAAAAATGAATCACACACTTAGAATATCAGTCCGTCTGTAACTTAAACCATGACCCCTAGTGGACGGCATTTTTGTCCAAAAGGATTTTATGATACAACCACTACAGCTGGTTTCACAGCTGGTTTAACCATCCCTCTGGGTAAATCTGAATAAGAAGGCGACAAAATGAATGATGGGCCGCATGTGTAAGAGAAAGGAGTCGTGTTCTGTGTTGGCGCCGCAGCAGAGAAAAGTTGTATCACACAGTAAACAAAGAGGCGATGAGACAGATGGGAGCGAGTGGATGTGATTAAGGAGGGGAGGGTTTTCCTTATCACCCACCATCGGGGAAGGAGTGGCCCCTGCTCTTTATCTTCTTGTCCTTTGGGAGGCGGCGTAGCATCCTAACTGCTAATAAATACCCAAACAAACAGGAGGTGAGGTCAGGTGAGGTCAGCAGACAGGGGTTGGTTTCAGGTCAGCACATGGTCGTTAATGTGCTTCAGTTTTATATTTATGACCTTAACCCCCTTAACCTGCTGAATAAGGCGGGAAGAGCTGGACCCTCCCTCATTGATTCAACCATCGATTTTGAAGTGAGGAATATTTATCTTCTGCTGATGTCTGTCTCTGAGCCTCTTATTACACACTTATTTTCATTTGTCCTCGTTGTCTGTTGTATTCGTCCGCTGTGCTGCTTTGTTCAGAATCGTCTTTCTCTTTTTTTGCTGCACATTTGTTCACAAACTGCGACAAGTGCAACGCCTTTAACAACATGAACCAGGTGTCCTGATGGTCATGTATTTACTCTCAGACTTTTATTAAGACTCTCATAAATGTTTTAAGACTAAATTCTTGATGTGTTAAATCATCCTCACATCTTCCAACCCCTTACACATCTTTGTCCTCCTCCTCTTCTTCCTGATTGGACAGATTGGTACCTGGTACTCCAACAACACATTGATCATGAACTCAACTTCTCTGGACCTCAACGCCTCAGAGACGCTGGCTAACAAGACGCTAATTGTCACCACAATCCTGGTAAAAAAGAAATCTGTCACACAAACGTTTCTAAGGTTGTGTGAAAAGTCCCTCACAGGTTAATGAATGCTTTTGCTCCCATCCTGCAGGAGAACCCGTACGTGATGCGAAAGTCAAACTACCAGGACTACCGGGGAAACGATCAGTACGAGGGTTTCTGCGTGGACATGCTGCGGGAGCTGGCCGACATCTTGAAGTTCTCCTTCAAGATCAAGCTGGTGGACGACGGGCTGTACGGAGCGCCGGAGCCCAACGGCAGCTGGACGGGGATGGTGGGAGAGCTGATCAACAGGGTGAGTGGAGAGGGGGCGACAATGAGCCAGTTAACTAACGTTTGTCTTTAGGAAGAACCAAAGGAGCCTCAGTGTCTTCAGATGATTCACATTTCACTGAGTCCAGTTTTGTTTTGTTTGGAGTCATTGTAGATAGAAATTAAACGATATTCCAAACTTCTGACCCACATGCACAGTATGATATAAATGAACGTATTTCTTCCACTGAAAAATAAAAAAGGAGTTCTTGTTGAGCCCATCAGCTGAGGAGGCTAATAACGAGTAAGCTGGTCACTGGAGTTACTTAAAGGTCGTCCACACTCGCACAGATCTCCTGAAAAGGTCCTGAAGTTTTCAGGTTGAGCTGCATGTGTGAACACAAAACAGCCCTGTGAGGCTCAGACTTTCTCCAGAGTTTCTCCTGCCAGATTACACCTCGAGCCAGCGAATCAAAAGCAAGTTTGAGACAATATATCCCTGTGCCTACATGTACCAGGATGCATTTCACCTAAGCAACCTGCCTTTCTGTCTGAATTTTCTGCTGTTTTTAATGAAGCCGAAGCGACGTGAATTGACTCCCCCCCCTGTGTGACAGGGAGAGCCTCCCGCGAGAGCAGATTTGGAAACGGCTTGTGATGGAGCGTCGAACTGAAATGTCGAATGAAATGCTTCAATGAAATCTGAACGGTGTCTTTTTTTGGGACGTGATCAGCCGTGTTTGATCGTTCAGTTTATAGACATAATCTTGATTGTAGTAACCGTTCTTGGATGACGTTATAGAATATATAAATCTTGACTTTTCATCAATTAAAGACTTAAATAACTAAAATCATTAAATGTTACTAGATTCCAAGAATGTCTCACTTTCTAAGTTTGAACTCCGTGTTATCCAAAAGTTTAACCAAACTGAAAAAAAGTCTGAAACTATGAACCCAATTTTCTCATGTCTAGGTGTGAAAACTGAAATTGGAGATACACACACACACACACACACACACACACACACATTGCAGACACTTCTCCTTATCGTCTATTCTCTTTCTCAGCTTTGTCGCAGGCAGTTCTCCTCAGAGCTTTAATTAGACTCAACTTGACTTAAAATGAGCCACTTTCCCTGAGAAAACAACAAACGGGGAAAATTGAGCTTCTGCTGAGACACTTAATGCCTTTTCAGTGTGTGTATGTGTGTGTGTGTTAGGTCATGCTGTTCTGGGTCGCGCTCCTTGCTAACGCTCCAACGCTCGTTTTAATTGGCCGACTCGTGTTGCAGTTAAGGGTGCACTCGTTGTCAGCAGTTCACAGCACGCGTCCTGAAGCATTGCCGCAGTCAGACACACACACCGAACCACTGGGTCATTTCAACATGTGCACCACGTGAGTGTTGCTGCAATTGAAGGTGTTCTTCATCTCAAAACTTTTTGCTCTGTGATTTTTTATTTTTTTTGGCGGCTAAATCTGATAAGTGGTGAAGTGGCCACAGCAGTAAAAGCCTACAGGTGGAGTAGGAAGCCAGGAGGAGGGAGAGGGTGCACAGCTGTCAGACAGGACTAGACGGTCTCTGAGACTATGAACACGTCTTAGCTGTTTCCCGCAAACGTTTCTCTCCTTCATATCTAAGACTTATACACATGCCCACTGTTACCATGACGATTTCAGATGCTGAATGCTATTCTGTGCAATTGGGGAGAAAGCCTGAAGTAGAGGAATCAGCTCGTGTCTCTGCGCTCTCGCGTGTTCTGTTGTACGACCAGAATTTCAAACATGACATGATGATTAATCCAACCGGTCGGGTCATCCTGCCTCTCTCTGCACACCGCACAACAAACAAGGCGCGAGAAATCAGCGGTGTGACTCAGATATTGTTTTGATTTGTTTCCTTTTGTTCCTGTAATCCAGAACTCTGCTGAGATCAGCATCCCAAAGTTATCAGAGTTCATCGTTGTCTCAGTTTAATCCATTTCAGGATCCTTAGTTTAGTTTTAGAACTAACTGTTTTGAAAATTTTATCCAATGTCACTATTACTTCTCAACAACTGGGCCCAGAAGGATGTGAGATTAACAGCGCTGTGTGTGTGTGTGTGTGTGTGTGTGTGTGTGTGTGTGTGTGTGTGTGTGTGAGCAGATCTGAGTGCTTGGTTTCCTCTGTGTGATGCTGCTTTCAGAGATAAGTGTGTTACGCAAGGTGGAAATGTGCTTCCTTTCTGCTCTGAACACAGCATTAGAAGGCCACGAGGTCCTCACAAGTATAGCAGAACAATACAGTGTGTGTGGCGTGAGAAAGCTGTTCCACATAATGTTAAAACTGCACCACACACACACACACACACACACACACACACACACACAGAGACACACAGACACACACACAACCACCCACTCTGTGAGTTAGCTACACATAACGGTGATGATAATGATGATGGTAGCTGATGATTGTGTCTGTGTGAGATCTAGTGTGTGTGCACGTGAATGGGCATGTATGTGTGCGTGTGAGTGTGCATGCGTGTGTGTGTGTGTGTGTGCGTGGGCATGTGTGTGTCAGAAAAAGGGAAATTGGGAACACAAGCAGGCCATTAACGGGCTAATCAAAAGCCTTTTTTTTACTAATTATAGAGAGCACTTTCAATTACACAGCAGGAGTCCACAGCATGAACACACACACAGAGACACACACAGAGACACACACAGACACAGACACACACCCCACACACACACACACACACACACACCAGCAGGTATTCACTTTTATCTGAAGCCAGAGACTCTTTGTGTGTTTCATGCAAATCTGTGAAAAATGACGGACGCTCTTCATCTCTCTCGCTCTTTTTTGCCCTTTACCTTGATCTACCATCTTGTTCACATGCACACACATACACACACACACACTCACTTTCTCTTTTTTTTACCATTTATATGTGACCTTCTCTAACCCCTCGCTGTTTTCTCATCGGAAATTTCAGAGGTGGAATTTTTAAATCAACTCTACGCTTTCAAACACATACATGCACACTCAAGCGCACACACTCACCTACACACGCACATGCACACAAACCTCATCTACACACACACACACTCACACTCCACGAGGCCCAGGAGTCTGATGAAAGTGGTTGAAATTCATCGAACAAGCGTCTCCTCGTTAATCAATTAGGTGTTAATTAAGGAGCGGAGGGGAGTCTGGGGTCCAGATAAACGCTCCTCTATGGATCCACTCTGAGCGCCTCCGAGTGCTCCTCCTTAATGAGATTATCTTTCACCCTTAAACTCACTCTGCTGTGTTTACCCACTGAGGTTAATGTCCCACTCTGATGTGGAAAAAAAAGGAAAAAAGACACCTGAAATGTTACTAATCATACAAAGCAGATGAAGTGTTTAAACAAAATGATTTCTTCAGTCTACATTCAGCAGCAGAGCGACAGGGTCAGGTCATAACGGGGGGGTCTATCATGTCAGGGGTCAAAGACTGCTGCTGGTACGTTATCATGCAGAACAACAACAAGAACAACACATTTAAGCATCCAACGTCTGAGGTTCACACACACTTGGAAATAAAATGGTTGTTGTACAAAGCCTTTTTACTCACCTGAGGGTCCAAATGTGATTCATTTGAGTGATGCAATTACAGAAAGTTCCAGACCGTAAATCAGGAGTTCAGGGTGTAATTTAAAGTGTGAGCTATGTGATTTACACGGCGGCCATGCAGGCGGGAACAAAAGCTGCTCACGGACAGCTTTAGTGCTCTGCGGTCCCTGAGAGCTGCACAATAACAACCCTGTGTTAACTTCTAATGCAGTCAGTAACAATTGTGCCCTGGACAATGACTGCAGTACAATAAAAATCAATTTTCATTAAAAGCCTCGGCACAGAAAGTTCAAACGTTCGAACGAAGGTGATGCCTTTAATCGGCGCTCCTGTGGATGAAAAATCTGAAGTTCAGTCTGAGATAATGGACGGATGATTAATCAGAGACTGATCTGACTCTCCCGTCATCACTTAACACGATGAAACATCAACATGAAACTTGGAAACGTCTTACAACATTCAGTAATGTCGAGCTTAACCGCAGGAGGACGATCGTTTCACACGGTAACGAGAACTTTTGTGTTTACGGCCAAAGTTTGTCACAAAGAGAAGTTTGATTCTTTGCCCTCAGCTCCAAAAAATGAAACGACGTTTGTCCCGTCAGCATCATTTTATTTATTTATTATTCATTAATGGCTCATACCATTGTATAAAACTCATGCTGTAATGTGAACTCACACTGTATGACTGAATCGTTTACGATGCACCCCAGTTAACGATTTATGAGGTCACACTGTACGACCTGATTGTCGAACACGACCTGAGAGCTCAAACTGTACGGGTTAAATCAGGATGAAGTCAGATCTGTGGATTTCAGTCGTCTCATATGCACAGCTAAAATCCAGACGACGGCAAAAACTCTCTCTTTCTCTCTCTTTCTCTCTCTCTCTCTCGCTCTCTCTCTCTGTCTCTCTCTCTGTCTCTGTCTCTGTCTCTCTCTCTCTCTCTCTCTCTCTCTCTCTCTCTCTCTCTCTCTCTCTCTCTCTCTCCCCCTCTCTCACACACACACATTATCACAAATAATCACCAACAAACACGGGTTAACTAGCGGCTGAATCATAACAAGCTTCAGCACTGCAGATATTTCCAGCCAACCATTTTTTCACAGTAGGAGGCATGTCTGCAGTTGCCACGGTGATTTCAGACACTGACTGTCAGTTTTTGGTCAGGAAAAAGTCACAATGTTGTGATCGGCCGTTGTGCCTCAGTGAACACTGAAAGATTAACCATATGTGATCGGGATGAAGTTCAACCAGACGTCTCAATTTATATGATATTGTAAACATTGGTTTTGGTGTCAGTGGGCTCTCAGGAGACGCTCAATCCCTCTCTCTTTGTCTGTGTGTGTTTGCAGAAAGCCGACCTGGCCGTCGCTGGTTTCACCATCACCTCGGAGAGAGAGAAAGTCATCGACTTCTCCAAACCCTTCATGACTCTGGGGATCAGCATCCTGTACCGGGTCCACCTGGTAACCGCACTTTGGTTTTATTTATTTCATTATCTGTGAGCTGATTCTACGTGTCAGTCTGCAGGTCATGACTTTTACTTTTGCTCCTGTAGAACCAGTCGACGTGCGGTGAGTTTAGAGAAAGAGTTGAACTGAAGGCAGGACGATGAGTTTATACCAAGGAGGGTTACGGCCACATAAATAAATGTACAGGAATAAAGTTGCACATTTGCAAGATTAAAGTCAGAAATAAGTCATAAATCTGCAAAAGTTTATGTCATTATTTTAGTCCATAGTTATATCCGAGGAGCAGAAACAGCCTGTATGAAAATGAGGAATAATAATTTTAACCATAGCCTAATTTAAATCCATTTACAAATTTAATATTGAAAATTAACAACTTTATTCACGTACATTTACAACTTTGATCTAGAAATTTTAGATTTTTTTGTTTTGAATGTGACCATAATACTCTTTAAAATATTCTCTCCAGGCAAAAAGGACTGTCATGGTGCATTATGGGAATTGTAGGATCGACAGAGTTTGAGCTAAACTTTTTTTTTTCTTATGAGTCCTAAAAAAGTGTTTTTTGTTCGTTTAAGAAATTCCTCTAGAGTGTTTCTGCAGTCAAAAACAATAAGCAGTTATAAAACAGAATGTTTCATTTATAATTCAGAAGTTTTAAATTATAATTCAGAAGTTTTAATTTACAACGCTTTTGTTTTTTATTCTTATCAACGAGAGCACAGGGCATTTAGTTTATAATTCTTCATCACAAAGTCTGTTTCTGTTACTCAGAGCTGCAGTGATGGAAAACTTTAATGAATCGTCTTACTGGTAAAATAATCTTTTCATTGTTAAAACACAGCTTCAATCCTCATTCAGTATTTAGGAGCTCTGTTTGTACGAGTGACTTATGGAAACTCAGAACGCACAGAAAGAAAACTCCTCTGTCCGATAATGAATCCACCAGTATCATCTGTCCATTTAGAACGAGCGCTACACTTTTGTCCCTTCAGAGATCCTGTAGAATGCTGATTTAGTGTTTCCAGTGCTCTGATTGGTCAGTAGGCTGGCTGCAGGTTGTATCTCAGGTGTAGGTTAGGTGTAGGCTGTCTGATTAGAGGCTACACGCTTTGAAAGTAACAACCCAGGATCTCCTCTTAAATAAGTTAGACGCCCTCCTGTTCAGTGTTGCCAGATCTTGCAAGAGAAACAAGCATCCAGGACTTTAGCCATAGTTTGTTTGGAAAACGTTAGCGTCAGTCCATAAATCCCACAACTTTGTAGTCATTGTAGAGGTCCAAGCAGGCTTTGGCTGTGTGCAGGAAAAAACAGTGTGGACATCAAAAGCAGGTGAAACACAATCTGCCATGACGGCCGCCATCTGCGGTCAGCTGATTTATTCATCTCTATAAACCAAAATGTACGTATTACTGCAGCTTAATGTGTCCACTGGAGGCCATGCTACTTCTCCAGCTGCTTTAAACAAAGACCAGAGCACGAAAAGGACATTTTGGATCATAATCTTTTTTCGCTACCTGCCTTGAAGGGTTGACCTTCACCCTCAGAGGCATTGTAACCGTCGAATGGAAGCCACTGGGTTCAGAGATTGATGTTTCCTCAAAGCTCATATTTGGTAGAAAAGGCCCATGAACCAATCTGTGGCGAGGTGTGAGTGAGGCTGTGCTGGTGCCGAGTTTCCAGGAGGTAGTTGATTAAGTGTTTGCTATAATTTGGGCGAGAGTTCCTGGAATACATGAAGAATAGATGTAAAAACAGAGAGCACAGCTGTGGAGCAGATTGTGCTCGTTTTGTAAAGCTCAGCAGGCTGTTTATTTTCCTCCAATAAGACCTTGAAGACGCTGATAAAAGCTTGTTTAACTTCCCCGCTCTGCCTGCAGACTTTACAAATGAAACAACAGCGTGTTTGCACCTGTTGACATCTCCTGTCTGTCTCCCTCGCTCTCGCTCTCGCTCTTGCTCTCTCCGTCTGCTCCGTGATTTGATGAATTCAGAGAGAAAACGCTGCAGACACAGCAGCAGACGCCTCCTCTGCAGCGCCATGCTGGAGGCAACAACAAACCCCCGCCTGCTCTGGTCACACAGTCAAACTGAGAGATCAGGATGAAGAAACAGCAAATATTCCTCCGACCAGAGAGATCACATTGGGAGGGGAGGGGGGGGGGGGGGGGTGAAAGAAGAGCGGAGGACACAGAATAAGGGCATGTTTCTTCTTCTGTGCTGGAGGAAAAAGATGCGAGTCCATCAAGGGGAAGGTGACAGGAGCAGTGGCTTGAAAAATATTAGTTTTTCCACCTCTGAGGGAGGATCGGTGACTCTGCCTCCATGACTGGAATAAGAAACATGGACGCCGCTTGTCTGCACTTCCTGTGAGTGTGACCGAGGCCGGCTCAGGTTGGATATTTTGGTGAACAGACTGCAAACAGGCCAGCAGGGACGTTTGTGTATTTGCATAGCAGACAGAGGAAGGACAGCATGTAAAGTGCAAATGCTGGGAAGTCACAAACAAGCAACAGATTACTTCTGTTTCCAAAGAGCAGAAAAGAATGAAACTCTGGACGGGTAATGTTTGTGTTCTGTGTCGGTGAACGCAACTTGAATAAATAAACTTAGCGTGTTTGAAAAAGGATGATGGACACATAATGAGAGAAATCTACCTGAGAATATGATGAAATCCAAACAAAATCTGTGCAAGAAGCTTTGTGAAGCTGCTTCAGTCACGACTGAATCCACTTCTAAACATTATTTCATTCTTTATGTCGAGAGTTTGAAACATGATAGGTGGACTTAACTCACACACATGATTTCATCTATTCCAGGAGCTTTTTCATCTAAAATCACGGAGGAGTCTTTTTCAGTTTTGCATCCCACGTGATGTGAATGTGATGTAAACGTTGGTGATGAGCGAGCTCTTAGAAAGTCGTCCAAACGAGGCCGCTATAGCCTTGAAGCCACTGTGAATCACCTCAGTGCTGTATTTCCCATCATCAGACCTGCCTCTGTCTGCGTCAGATCACAGAGGGCTGCTCAGTATTGTTCTCTTGGCTTCTGCCATCCTGGATGTCGAGGAAGTCCCCACCGAAAATCCCTGTTAAGTCATGCTCGTCAAAATCCTCCTTTAAGGAGTCCAAAACGAGGCTGCTAGCCTTGTAGATACTACGAACGATCTCTGTGCTTTAAAGAGGACATATTATCCCCCTTCTCCACCTTTTCAAACAGTCCCCCTGTGGTCAAAATATAACATGAATCAAGCACCAGAGGAGGTTTGTGACCCTGTATAAACCAGCTCTGTCACACAGCAAAATCAGTGAAAAGTGTTAATTTAACTCTTTTTGAAAAGTTGGTACCTTAACAATAACTAAGTGTTACTATTGACTCTTTTTGGAGTTAAAATTTAACACCAGGTAACACTGGCCTGTGTCACTTTTGCTCAACACTGCAATGTAGTGTTAGAAATTCACTCTTTCTATTAAAAGTGTTACCCCCATATTAACACTGTAAGGTGTAAACATTGCTTTAATGAATTACTAAAAAAAAATACACAAACAAAAAGATCATGTATGGGTCAAACACATTTATTTTAAAACATTGTAAATTTTGTACAAGCATACAGCAATATGAAACAATGTATGCTCTCTCATTTTCATTACAATATTACTTATCAGTCCTGGAAATGAGGCCTGGAATCTCACATGAGCCATCGGTGTTGAGTTGGACTGTTTTCAGTCTCCAAGCAAGACAACCTGTATTGGCCAATCTGTTCCTGCTCATGCATGCGCACACATACACACAAAGACACACCAAAGACACAGTAAAAAATACACACATAAAATATTTAGTTAATAATCTTATAGCACAACTGCATAAAGATAGCGTAGCAACATGCTGTGGGACAAGCTGTGATCAAGCAAGGCAGCGTACCAAACATGAACCATTCACTGTCTTACATCTTTCTGCTGTTTAACAGAAATAATGCTGGTTTTAGTCTTACTAACAGGAGATATCTTACCACTCACACAGCAAACTTAGCATACTTTTCTTAATAAACAGTTCATTGGGACAATATCTCTGAAATATTTCTCATAGCTATGGTCCTTGCCATCACATTTAAGATTAAGCAAGATGAAATAATTGAGTAAGTAAGCTACTTAGGAGGAGAATAAGATGACTAGATATTGCAGCATGAAATAAGCTAACAGTGTTACAGTGGTTAATATTTGAAAAAGAGACCATCCACAAAAAGAGTATCAATATCTATATTTGAACATAACGTTTACGAAAAATGTAGTGACACTTACAGATTTGATTAATTGACACTTCATTTTTATACTCGATTTTGACTCGAACTCTTTTTCAACTGAGAGTAAAGTTTCAGGGATTTGACTCCATCCAGAGTAGAATTAACTCTGCACTTGCTGAAATTTCACCAACACCAAAAGTTTGGTGTGTGTGTCTCTTTAAATGCAACGAGCCCCCTCTGAGTTTTCCCAGTAGACATCACTCCTCTGTAGAGAGAATAAAATGGCGGACCTGCTCAAAAATGTTGTTCTAGGCAAGGGGTGGAGTCCATGGGTGGAGATATCAGGGGAGGGGAGGGTTTTGTTTTTTTAACCAGAATCCCACTGTGATGTCACAAGGAGAGCAAATTTGAAACGGAGCATTTTTCTCTGTGTTGTAAGACCACAAACAAAGGACTGGATGGGTTTATTTCACATTTTGTGGGTCGGTAGAGGCTACCCAAATATATGTTCAAAACACTACAAGTGGATTCTTCATTATGTGTACCCTTTAAGCTTCCAGGCTGAGTGCTAACTGAGCTAGTGGTGGTGAATTTTCCAGGATAACCCTCAGATTGCTTCCTCGACAATCAGAGTGAAATCTGACACTGTGTCTTTTATGTGTCCCTTGTCTCTAGTAAGCCAGAGAACATTTAGCTGCACCCTGATATTAAGCAGACACTGTGGCTCGTAACGCTTGGCTCAGTAAAACATCAATGT